ACCCTGGACAGGTCACAAGTCCATCACAGAGACACACACTGAGACAAACAACCATTCACTCACACCTAGGGACAATTTAGAGTTATCAATTAACCTAACAGTCATGTTTTTGGTCTGTGGGAGGAAGCCGGAGTACCCGGAGAGAACCCACTCATGCATGGAGAGAACATGCAAACTCTACCCAGAAAGGTCCCGTGACCGGGACAAAAACAAACATGCATGCTTGAAAAATATCACCCTGTAGGCGGGCAGAAATTAAGAAAAAAAGATGTTAAAGTCAACAAGTTGTACTATTAAATATTCAGTTTTAATTTAAAAACATGGTATTACTTAAACCAAAGATGTAATGTGAAACAGTTCATTTTGTCTGGATACTTGCTTTCAGCTTCAGCTCATATTTTAGGTTTTATTCGCCACGTTTCCATCTTGTAGCACAGAAATCCATCAGATGCTTAGTTTTAAAAACAGACAACCACCTTTTGGGGCATCAGGCAATCAGAGACCAGCAGTGAAGCAAATTAAAGTCGAAATCCTGACTCTAAATGAAGTTAGCAACTGTATGAAGAAAGATTAAACACGGTTAAAACATTAAAATAACATTAAACAAATGTGTTTTTCCACAGTAAAAACACTGCTGCAACTCAACAAATTTCCATCATACCAGAGCCTCTTTTTTTTTTCCTTTTCCCACAGATTTCTCAGCAGAATAACTCCGCTTCTTTGTTGTCAATTTGTAAACACAGTTTGTTCCAGACATTCATAATTTCACCAGCTTGTTTAAATTTTAACAAACCCAGTTTTGGGATTTCTGTCCAGCAAAGCAGTTTGATGTTTTTTTCGTCTGCGGAGAAGAACTGAAGCCTCGGAGCGACGATCGCGGAGGAGCGAGCAAAAACTACAGCGATAAACAACCCGGAGGCAGGGTTTTCATTTTTGTGTCAGGAGGTGGAACCCGGGTCAAGATCAGCATTCAGTTTTAAATATGCGCGTGTGAACCCCTCGGAGCGCACAGGTGAACAGCTGCTTTGTGCTTTGGGACAGTTTTTAAGCAGGGAATTCAACTCATCAGGAATTAATTATGATCACATCAAGAAAAAAAAATACAGAAATACCTATTCGCATGCTTAGTTATTCCAAAAGAGTCACGTTCCCACAAAAGGGCACTAACACCCAGAGGAAATGTTGTTCTGAAACGGTAAAAAAAAAAAAAAAAAAACAGAGCGGGAGAGTGATAGTGAGAAACGCTACGCTCCATGCATGCTGGCTCCTGTTCTTAATTATTGTACAGCGCATAAAAAAGTGTCTCATTTATTTCAAGCAGGGCAGGGCTGTAGACCTGTGAAAAATATACATTTATATTTAAAACTAAATTACCATTTTTACAATTTTCACTTCAGTTAATAAAGCGTGGGGCACCGGGGTTAATAGTCACACATCCAAAACAAGCACTCATAAACAAGAGAGACAAAATCTAACTCAGTTTCTACACAGATGTTTTTAATGTTGATCACCACATTTAAAAAAAGAAAAGAAGAAAAAAAACCCACACACCCCTATAATAAATGTTGTCAGAAGAGAAGAAAAGAGACGAAACAACACAAGCACTTTCCTCCAGTTGATTTATGTGATTCTATTACATTAAACATTTTTTCCCCTGAGCAGGCTCAGCTCCCTAGCAACCACTGCTTACGGCCCTAATGTGTCTGGATCGGGGCCAGGAGGAGCTAGCTGCCTTTATTGATTGCCAGATTGAAAAGTTTGAAATTTAATAGGTCCTGTAATACATGGTGGAATTATTCACAGGGTTTCCTTGTCTAAAACACAACTTTTGAGGATCAAAAAAAAAAACAAAAACAGAGAGCTAAAGGCCTGATTTTGACTAAAATCATCCAGTGTTGAAAAATGATGGAGCTGAATTTGGTCTAACCTTGACATTAGCTGCGTTTCCATTGCAAATGTGCACAAAACTTTGTCGATATTCTGTTAATGTCAAAAAAACACAGTTTCGCAATTGCGGTGTTTCCATTAAGTAAGAAATGCTATTGAATACGTTTGTTCTCACGATAAGTCATTACAAACATGGCGGCAATGGATGTAAACACATAGCATATTGCTACCACGACACTAGCGCTCATCATCAGCCATCAGAGGAGACGTTGGCGTCTTATCGAGGTTTTGGAGCGACAAGCCCCTAATACTCAGGAGTGGCTACGTATGCAGCATTTTTGGGAAATTGTAGTCAGTGAGTTTAATACTTTCTTTTACTACTTTTGTGATTTTACTACGACTTTTATTTCCTGTTATCTTCTTCTTTGTCATCTTTTTTGCCAGTAGAAACAGCTGGTTCTTGATCATGTAACTCCCGTGATGCAAAAAAAGTGTTTCCATTGCAGTTTTGTGAAAAACGCCAATTTCGATATGGCTGAAAAACCACCTCACCCTAGCACAAAAACATTTCGTCGAAAAACATAAATTTTTTCGAAAATGACGTGTTTCCATTGAGCAAATTTATTCTTGAAATTCTAATTTGCGCATTTTCATGGTCAATGGAAACGCAGCTAATAGCATTATGTGAGTGACTCCCAGCTACAACCACATTAAATCTTACCTCAGTTGTAGCCATTTTTTTGTGTCAGACTGACTCCAAAACTTATTCAGTTGTAGACTTTTTGAAAGCCTTATTAAAATTCATCCAGCCTTTTATGAGATATGAGACAAACTTTAATAACTCCAACAGTTATTGCTGAAGTTTCAAGCAAAAATCTTGCATAATGCGAAGCACCTGGAGTGTGTGTATTGAATGAATTATAGCCATTTTTGCAGCGTTAGTGGCGGCCATCTTGAACGTAATTGACTCCAAAAGTTAAACACTTGTCGAGAAACATCTGCTGATTATTTCCTGAATGCTTCATTAAAATCCGTCCGGCGGTGAATGAGATATTTTGCTAACACAGAGAGACACAAGCGTAAACATCATCACTCCTCCTTCACCCTGTGTGCGTGCATGCATGTGTGTGTGTTGATGGACCGGCCCTAAACGCTGTTCGCTGTCTGGTCCCTGGCTACATCCTGACTAATGAAAGACTGCTGCTGGGTTTTGGGGGTCAATCCACTTATAGCGCAGTCAATTCCAAGAGTAAGAAGAAGGAAAATAAAGCTGCTCTGCAAGAACCCGGAATGTGCAAATACCACAGGGAGTAAATTTAATCAACTCTCTTTAGTCGCAGCAAAAAAAAAAAAAAAAACAGCTGCTTTTAAACTAAATAAACAAATGAGACGAAGCTTCTCCGAGTTTGCCCCGTTTTCACAAACGAGCCGGAACGCCGTTACACCCAGGTGATGATCCTCTACCGAGGACGACGGCCGCTCAGGTCCGAGACAAACGGAGCAGCTGTGATCCGAGATCTCAGATGTTGTCAGCGACAGAGAGAGAGAGGAACACTTCAGATTCTTTTTCCACCAGACGGCATTTTCAGCCTCACAAACAGTATCTGTCTCCCGCAGAGTGAAATGGATGACATGTTTGCCTTTAAATGCATCTTTAATGGAACAAGTTCCCATTTGAGTAAGTTTGTGCAGGAAGGTTATAGTGCAGAGAAGGAAAAGAAAAACATCTAAGTAAAAAAAACATCTTATCAGGAGATTGGGAATTGGGTCAGGCAAGGAATTACATGCCATTCTAGATCAAAGTTGCTGCGTATTTTTCCTCACAGAACAGTCCCTCATTATCAACTCAGACTTATTTCTTAAGGCGGATAATGTGTAATAAGAAACATGATTTAATATGTTTTCAGAAGAATGAAGGGGAAAAAAGGAGTAGGAGTGGGAGGGGGGGACGAAAGAAAATTTCTGGAGGCTATTTGAGGCGGGCATGTTTCCCAATGGTAAAACCAAAATCAGAATCAGAACGAAAGGGGTGGGTGTGCTTTTTTATAAAGACATTTTACTGGGGTGGTGTTTTGGTTCTATTGGCATGCCTTTAATGTGAATTCCTGTTGTTATATAAAAACTTTTCCCCTTCTCCATTTATCTCTCTATCATCTGATCTGCACGGAGGAGGAAGACTTTGAATAAACACGCCACGCCGTTAAGCCAACTGGAACCCTTTTCATTAATTACATCTCGCACAATAACTTCATTTACATTACATTTATTCAGCTGGAGGACTTTGACAATGTGGGAGAGAAAAGAGCGACATTAGCAGCGGATGATAACAGCTAGAGCGGTGCGGCTCCCCCAAGGGGAGACATTTTAGTCTGTGGCTTAGAGGGAGACTTTACAGACAGCAATATGTCATTAAAAACCAGCGCCATCTGTTCTGATTTCTTGTTTATGTGCTGGAGACACAAAAGCGCACCCCAGAAATGCAATCTGTAGAATTTGCTCTTGCTACACTTTGTAGTGCAATTAACTTGTGATTACACATTCAACACACTAAAAACTGGTGGGGTAAAAACAACTCCGTTTGTACCCCAGCAAATTGTGCGTTGTCAGCTTGACTGAACAAACTGGGTTAAGTTTTGTACTCAAAATATAATTTATAATGAAAATTTTGTTGAGTTAGTTAAAAAGAGAACATCTCAAAATCTGCCTTTTTTAATAAATGCAGCTTGAGTTGGTGCTAACTGCTATTAGCATCAGCTAGCTAACCCCAAGTAATGCTATTTTTGGGAACCATAATGCAAAGTTAAGTTGTTAGCAAAAGCCAACCAGGTTAAACATAGTCTTAACAAGTTCATTTTTAACTATTTTAGTATTTCCTTTCCGTATTACATCCTAAACACCGTCGGGTCAAATTTGGTCAACTTAATTAAAATGGCGGACTGTGAAGAATGTTACTAATCATCTCTGACCCGAAAAACTGGTCAAACTTGCAGCCAATTAAGAATAACACAGTGGATTTCTTAATTTG